CACTTGGCCCTTCTGTGCCCGGGTACGGGTCGTTGGCAGGGGGAACTCCAGGAACTCCAAACACTAAACCCTCAGCCCTTGAGGTCCTGTGGGGGCATGACAGAATTTGATGTCTGCAGGTTGCGGTGGGTGGTGAATTGTCATGTCTGCACGGTGACCTCACATAGAGTCATGCTCCAACTCGTTGTGCTTCATTATTCTTCTTCTGGTTTTGGCTTCATTTTGCGGACGTTGTGGACGCATTGCATCCCTGCAGGGCTGCGAGGTTGCTAGGCAGGTGGCCAAAAACAAACCCTAAACTTTCCTAAACCCTCATGAAAGCTTGCAAGGCCAACGAGTCCCTGATGAGAGTCGTGTGGACGCTGCTGAATCGTCGCTTGGCCACTGATACGCAGTGCGTGGATGTACCCAGAAGTCGGTCCCAAAATCATTGGCCCTTTCCGAGCACCCTTTTATTCTCTCCCTGTGAATCAAAATTGCATTTCGCAGCTGTTTTGGCTGGAGGGGCCAATTGAACCCACAGCCATTGCCATTGCTGCGGATATCATCCGCGTGGCACCCGTCGTGTGGAAGAAAGCAGCGATCAAGAAGCAGGTCGGGGAGCTTGGAGAGCTATAGACTCTAGCCGAGGGGGGAGCCTAAATCATATGGATCGCCGTGACATGTGCCTTGTGTGATACCTACCTCTTTTTTTCATATTATTAATATTATTAGTATTATTAATATTATTAATATTATTAATATTATTAATATTTATTAATATTATTAATATTATTAATATTATTAATATTATTAATATTATTAATATTATTAATATTATTAATCTCATTCATATTGTTAATCTTACTAATATTATTAGTATTGTTAATGTACTCCCATAAAAACCACGTGGCCCCGAGCACAGCAAGTTGACGTTCCATCCGAAGGCCGAAACGAGATCGTGCTATGGCTGCTGGGACCGTCCCCGCGCTGCACGTGCTGGGCCCTTCGGCAGAAACGAAATCCTTGGGGACCAAAGTGAACCCCAAAATATGGAGCCTATACCCTACGGATCCCCACACTTCTTACATTCTCCTTGCTAAGTTCATTGGACCAAAAGCCCTTGCAGGGTATTCAGCGTGCCCAGTGGCAGTTTGCCGGCATTGAAACCATGAATTTTGACCTCTTGCGCATTGCGCGTACAAGCATAGAACTTTAACGTCACGAAGCCCCTCCGTGACCGAGAATTGTCCTCAGCCTTCGAACGATCCTAACGTTCTGCGAAGAGACGCGACTTGTTTTCATTGGCTGCGCAAGAAAGCTTGCACGGCTTGTGGGGACATTGGGGATTGCACTGTTGCTGGCAAGGCCCCTAAACCCTAAACCCTAAACCCCAAACCCTAAACCCTAAACCCTAAACCCTTCAGCACAAGGGATCTAAAAGGTAGAACCTTTATCAAGCCTTCGTGAGGGGGAGACCCCAAAAACAAGGAAGGCCCAGCTGCCCTAAGCCCTAAGAGACTAAAACCCCTTAAAACCCCTTAAAACCCCTAAAAACCCTAAAAACCCCAAAAACCCCAGAAACCCCAGAAACCCTAGAAACCCTAGAAACCCTAGAAACCCTAGAAACCCCAAAACCCATAAACCGGAACCCTGAGCCCGGAGCTCAAGAAGCCCGCAAGGAGACAGCCTGGTCACCTTCAACCTGTCGAAGCGCCTGGACAATGCTCGCTTCATCTTGAGCCTTCGCGCAACTTTAGGGTTTAGGGTTTAGGGTGTAGGGTTTCTGATGACTAAGCGCAGACCCTAAACTTAGTCCAACTTTTCCCTGGACCTAGGCGCCAGTCCGTGAAGCCCTGGCCTCTCACGTGCCTAGACCTCAATCAAAGGGAACACAGGGAAGCCCCCCAGTTTTGGAAACCCCCCTAAACCCTAAACCCCAAACCCTCAACCCCAAACCCGAACCTAAATCCTACAACCCAAACCCTTTTGAACCTGGAAGCCGCTTCACGCCAGGACTGAGGCCATAGGGTTTATAGGGTTTACAGGGTGCTTTGGCCCCTCAGCTGCCTGTGTCACAGCAAGAAACCCTAAGCCCTAAATTCCAGTAAGGATGGTGCTCGTGGTTCTGACGCACACGCTCACCTCTGACATGCCAGGCCAAGGAAACTTTTAGTTGGGACCCTGCCTTGGGGGGTACCAAAGTGAACCCTTTAAAAGGGTTTTATGGGTCCCTGTAGCTTAGTAGGGATTCTAGTGGTATCGGGTATGTGAATCCCAATTTTAGGGCTCAGTTGGTCCCCGAGGTTCTTGTCCTCAACGCTGTTTGGTGAATCCATTTGAAGGGTCGAACGAAGTAACTACTGCCTGTGCCACATGTTGCCTGGTCTGATGAGCTGATGAGAATGTTCAACCGCATGGTGCAGCATGTGATGGACTTCTATTCAAGTCCATTCTTTTATGTTATGTCTGTTCGAGTGCTAGTTCTAATTCCAGTTCAGTTCTGATTCTCATTCTATTCTATTCTGCGCCAGGCTACTCGGCAGTACTGGGGCTCATCCACCCGTTTCAAACACGAGCTCTGGCATTCATCAGTGGAGCAGCTCGGCATTTCTCGGGCCCACTACGCTGGGCACTCATGAAACCTATATAAAGGCTTTCTGCTCCAGATATCATGGGGGAGGTTCTAGCCAGACTCCAGAATGACGACGTTTGTCCGACTAAGGTTGTGAGCCGAAAGGGGCGAACCCTCCAAGAGGTGGGGCGATCATCAAGAGAGCCTTTGCGAAACAAGCTGCACCCTAAACCCTAAACCCCCTTTCACAAATGTCGTGAATGTCGGTGTTGGGGTAAAAGCAGCACGGCTTCGGGCAGCCTGGCGCAGGTACCCTACGGCCCACTCACATAGGACTCGGCTTTCCACCTGGCTTCAGATATGGTCATGCTTCCCTAACTAGCAGAGAGCACTTCCAGATTGCCTCCGTAACTTCTCGGGCCGAGTGAAGCTTGAAACCTACGATGCTTTGTGAGTACAGTTGTCACCAAAACCAGTTGCACAGCTTGAATACAATTGTAAGCCTGCTGCTTTAAAATCAGGGACGAAGGACCATTGCAGCCAAATGAATCAGGGCATGCAAAGTCTTGCCGTGGGATTTTGATGTGGGCATTTCCCAAAAGAGGGGTCCCATTTGATACCCAAAAGAGAATAGAATCCCCTTAAACGGACCCCCCAAAAAGGGTACCCCCATTTTCGGAAACCCCCATGTGGACCCAGCCTTGCAGCACCTGACAGCTCCTGGACCTCCAACGGTTTGTGGTCGGCACATGGGGGGGTTTAGGGTTTAGGGTTTAGGGCAAATAAGGGACCCTAAACATGGACCCCCAAAATAGTAGGATTCCCTTGGTAGTAAGGTCAGGTACTTTATTTGCACCTTGATCCAGTTGCCTCCCGCACTTCCCGATTATTACATCTCCACAGCCGCGTTCTTGACATCGCTGCGAGAACATACAGATCCTAATATCCACTCTCCATGAGAGCCTCGAAATTCTCAACAACATCTCTCTTGCTTCAAGCACAAGCACGTGCGAGTTGTTATAAGCCTTTGAGCACGAACTGGCGCGCATGAAGTAAGGACACGGCCGTCCAGATCCTCGTCTTCAGTGTCATTCTGGACCCGGTGTGCCACCAGTTCTTCGCAGGCGGAGCCACCATCGGTCGGTGGGGATTGGGGCGAACATTTTGTTTTGTCCACGAAGCCGGCCATGCTAAACAACAAAGTGAGTTCCCGGTTCTTTGGGGCAGGCAAGCTGCTCTTCGATCCCGCGGCCTACGTGCGCAAGGTGGTCCACCTTCTGCTCTTCTCTGGTGAGCAGATTCATTGGTACCTGTTCGGGCGGCCCGGGGGCACGAAGTGCTTCAGTTGGGACATCTCTTGGAAATGTTGCGCAGTTGGGGTCTGCTTAGCACTTGTGGTGGTCAGGCCTTAGTTTTTTGACGCCACGAGCCCGCGAGTCTCACTCCGTTACGGCCCAAACACACGCACGAGCAGCAGCACATCCCAAGACGCGCTTACGAGGTGAGGTCAAAGAACCATTCAAATGGATTATTTTGCATAGTGACAGTAACAATTCTGTGTTGACGAGCTCAGGAAATCTCAGGAAGTCCCAGAAAATTTGGCAGGATCCGACTCGAGACATTTCCAAGACAAACCCTGTCTTATCACTGAAGCGCACTCCAAACGCTTTAGGGTTGGGTTTGGGGCTGAGATTCGAGCCTTTCGCCTTTCATCGGAAGGGCCCGCCAGAAGTGTACGAGACCTTAAACAACGGAGACTACGCGGTGCGGAGTTGATCGAGGGAACTCAGGGGAGTATTAGACTGGACTGGACTCGGGCGTTTGAAACTGAGCTAGGGGTTTAGGCTTTAAGGTTTAGGGTATGGAGTCCTTGCCTTCGTCCCCTCCTGTGATCGGTTGCCAGCTCTTCGCTGACTTTGCAGGCTGCTGTGGTGGCGCCTGCTCAGCTCGCAGCTGGAGCAGATTGCGTCTTGTTTGCGCCAGGGCAGAGCCCTAAACCCTAAACCCTAAACCCAAAGGTTTCTAAGGTGGCTTGAGGTTTCTTCTTACAAGTGGCTTGCCTCGTGCCACCTTCTGCTTTGGCGTGTACGTAGTGTTCTTTCCTTCCGAGTCGAGCTGGGTTTAGGGTTTAGGGTTTAGGGTTTCGGGGTTTGCGGTTTAGGGTTTAGGTTTGAAGGTTTTGGGCCACAAGGAGAGCGCCCGACGGCGCATGGCTGTTTCCCTCATGGTCGCGGCACTGGCCACGTACCACTACTCGACCTTCCTGAGTGCAGCTCGGACTGTAATATAGAGCGATATATGAGAATGTATAATGTATAACCATATATCTCACAATCTATATATATATATATAGTACGATTAAACAAAGACCATGTCACAATATAAGGACAAGTTATTAGATATAGCAATACTATTATATAAACATGTATAATCATATAGAATAGCATATAATTCATATAAAAGAATCTACAGATCACTTCTTGCACCTTTCGGAATGAGCCCGTCGAGTCCTTCGTCGACCAAGGGACGCAGCTTGCAGTGTAGCAAGACGGGGTACCCTTCGAAGCGAGGTATATACAATAGTATACAATAAACCCTAAACCCTAAACCCTAAACCGTGAAGAGCGCGCAAGGGGATGTTTTGTTCCCTGGGTATTTCAGATCACCTCGGACCCGACGTAGCCCTGCGATGCGGATTCGCCCCAGCTGTGCAGGAGGGAAAAAAAAACCCTAAACCCTAAACCCTAACTATACGCAGAATATATAGCAGTGTCACTGGGAGGTGACCGAATCCTTGGCCTGCTGGCCCTTCTACGTCGCAGGAGATCTGCAGCCCGGATTTGATGGGTATAGGGCTTGGGGGCACGAGTCACTCCACAAGGAGAACAAAGAACAGAATCCATCGCCCGAAGTCTGACACGTGGCCTATGACTCGACATTATTTCTATTGTTATTATCGGTATTATTATTATTGTTATTACAATCGCTTCATTATTCATTTTTATTATTCTTATTTCTAAAACCTTGTTTATTATTATTGTTCCTATTAATATTATCATTATGTTTTTATTATGATATAGGGCGATTTGTGGCCGAGGTGCGGGCGACTTTGGCCGGAGATGGAAAAGAGCTACAAGCTCATCAGGTGGGGCCACCGAAGACGGGAGACAGTGTTATTATGCATCGTTTGAACTACGTTGCTTCTGCATGCGTGCATGAATGCGTGTGTGGGCGTGTCTGAAATAACTTATTACAAGCATAATCTCCCTTGAACTAGTTTAGTTTGCAGAGCTCGTGCTGGTACGCTGCCCGGTTGAGGTTTTTCCAATGACTCCCTTCCCCCTACAACAGCAAAGAACAAAAGTCCTCACTCCGAAAGAACAAATAGAAGGGGTTTGGCCCAAACTTACCCAAGCATTGGGCCAACACTGAGGGGTGCCGAAGTGAAGAGTAAGGGGGACTAGATCTGCTGGCGCGCGCAGCACACCAAGCTGGCGCGCGCGCACGCGCGCGCTGGCTGCGGACGATTTGTTTTTTCTCGAGGCCTGCGTGCTCTCATGTTGGATGAAAATCGCGCTCTCGCCGTCCTCGAAACCATCGTCGTTTTTGGACTTCTGCGTTCGCGAAACGCGAAACTCGTGAAGCTGCCGTCCCTTTTTGGATCTCTGGGCTCACGAAATGCGAAACTGTCGTCACTGCTGGATATCTGGGCTCACAGGGTCTCGATTATTGGGCTGGGTTTTCGTGGGGGAACAAAAGATTGCAAAGCCCCCGGCGCAAACTCCCAACCTTTAGACCTACTTCGCAGGTCTCCCGCATCATCTTGCCTTGGAGTTCTTGCCTTCCTTGGCATGCACATGGCAGTTGTGAAGCTGCTCGGCCGCAGTTGTCTACAAAAGCATGAAGAACAATAATCCCAATACTGCCCTAATGAGGAAGAGGGTCTTAATGATTTAGTGAAGAAGACTAGCCGACAATTGCCCTAAACCGCAAACCCTAAACCCTAAACCTTAAGGATCTTATGTTTTTTGGTGGTTCTTCAGTAAGTAGTCGTTGGAGGCGGCTCTTGGTTCAAGATCCTTCAAAGCGACCCGGAAGTTGAGGGGTTTAGGGCAAGTTTAGAGTTTAAGCTTTGGGGTTTAGGGTTTAAGGTTTGGGGTTTGGGGTTTGGGGTTTAAGGTATTTAGGCACCCAGCTCAGCTTTAGCCCTGCCAACCGGTGACAAGTCTTTCGACCAATCGGAAGCCTTGGCACCCTCGGCTTCTTAGCCTTCTTAGTCGCTGAGTGAGTACACTTCATGCTCTTTGGGATACTAGAATCCCCTGTAGAACTGAAAGTGTACACTTTTTGGGGGGCCTATGAGCTTAGCTTCTTAGCCTTGGATCCACTGTCATGGAAACTGGACGTTTAGTTGTAGAGGAGGGTTGGACATCGCGCGCCTTGTTCTACGTGTTTTTTTGAGCACCTAGCCATGCATATGCCAAACTCTCCCGACCCTCCACGGTCCTACACCTACATCATCCGGAAGTCCGGAACCCTTCGACCCTACGGTATGTTCAGCGTGACTGTTTACATATATATATGTATTTGTTCTTTCATTGTTATGTGTATGATATAGGTTATATGCCCATATGTATAATATACACACATATGTATACTCCAGGAGTATGGGCATGGGTGTCAATATCTCTAGGTTTCTTCGGGGTGACATGACCTCCGCATATTTTCTTAAGTTCCTGCATCATGTCCATGCTCTCGTACTCGTCCGACTGCTGCTTGGATTCCTCAAATTTCTGTGCGTCTTCGATCTTTGTCAAAGCATCGCTCGACGCCCATCAGGCTTGGATGGACACAGCACTTTCCCTTCTCGAGTGGATGTATTCCATGGGCTATGCAAGAGTTCGACTATGACAACTCGTTTCTGAAGCCTGGCTCGGTTGAGCAGCGTTGTTGCGTTAGACTTCGACAGTTACGAGATGGTTTGTGGGGAGTAGCTGCCTGTGCCGACTCGCATGGATTCTCCACCCGAGCTTTGACTGTTTCAGGTTAGGATGTTCCGCCTTATACTAACCAGTCCTTAATCGGGATTATCGTACCCCCCATTATCATCCCTGCTAAGGACTGTTAGTATACGGGGGAACATCCCAAGTTTCAGGTCTCATGTTCCAAGGCGAGGCTAATCAATGAAGCGATGTCATGAGCTCCCATTGGGAGCGCCACGCCCGATCGCATTTAGGCAGTGCAGCTGTGCAGGGATACCGCGCAAGGTAAAGAACCTGCACGACGATTCGCGGCCGCCAAAGATTCTCGAAAGTTGCGGATCGTGATTGCGAACACAAACGAGCGCCAAGGCCCACCTCCAATCTCGCATGCCGGCCTCTAGGGCCTGCTCTGGGTCTCTTTAGGGGTTTTCGGATTCAGGGTTGAGTGTTTAGTTTTTGGTTCTTCCTCGTGGGACTTCCATTCTTTGTGTCTCTATCACGCGCTATCCTCGAAGTTTGACCCTAAACAACTTAGCTCAGCTAATTCGTATGTTTCCATCATGTTCCGCGCTGCTTCGATGTTGGACTAAGAGTTTCTTGTGTTTGTATTTAGGGCGCGCAGATACATGAGTTTATGATATGAAGCGAGAACGGATTGCTTGTGCAAAGATGACACAAATCGACAAGTGGCAAGAATCCCGACCCCCGCCCAGGAGCGGCTACTGGACATTCCTTCTGCGCGGCTGCCTGGGGTATCTGCTGATGTTTGGACTCTTGAAGGACCAACAGAACACTTGAAGGTTCAAGGGTAGTCAGAAGTAGGGTTTAGGGTACGTAGTTATATAAGTAGGGTTGTAAGTATGGTACTTATACTTGCAACCCCACTTAGGGCACCCATGACCCAAGCAGGGAAATTGAGGGGAATCTACAGTAGTCAGTAGTTTGACAAGTCCTGATATCGCCTCTCGTTAGGAATCCCTCTCATTGGCTTAAATGAACCCCATTAGAAACGCAGGGTTCGCCGATGCTTTTGAGATGTTTCTGGCCTTGGCTTTTCGCTGGCCATTCTTCTGTTCTTTCATTCGCTCAAGATTGGTTTTGTCTGTTTCCGATGCACGAATCAACGGGGTCTGAATGCACTGCCTTCATTTTCAGCCGCGTGCTGCTAGTTTGCTCAACGGGCGCACAGCATGTTGTAAGCTAGCAAGCCCACGTTGTCTCTGTCAAGCTCTCAGGAAAGATTGCGGTATTCTTGGTTTTCTGTTGCCCCGACGTGGCCACAGTGATCACACCTCTTGGACGGCACAGCATCTTCCCCTACCTCTTGCACTACCCCGCGGTGCCCGTGTACCGGCACTTAATGCACCAAGCGTTGAGCTCCAGTCGCTCGGGTTAATGTGTACCAGGTTGGGGGGAAAGGGGGAAGGGGGGGGGGGGGGGGGGGTCCTTATCCCTAAACCCTAAAAAGGCCCAGTATATAGGAGTTGTGCTGGAAGAGAGATCTCGAAAGTGCCCAGAATGTAGAATAATGTAGATCAACCCCCATCCAATATCAAATATTAAGGATGTTGAATGTATGAGCGCTAGAACCTTGCACCCCAAGCCCCTCAAGAGAATGTAATGTGGCCAGCTAGGTGGCCTCATGACTGTGGGCACTGTCTGGTTCTAAGAAGCTTGAAGGAGTGAACTTTGTGGGGTGTGCCTGTGGCCGATGGATATTTGGGCCAAAGGTTCCGTAGATTGTCGAAAGGCTGAAGCTGCAGGTTCTCAATGCTTGCTGACGATACTGCTCCACAGCCCTTCTGCTCTTGTTCAGGCCCGAGAACCCCAGATCTTGAACCTTGAACGCATGGCCCCTGGGCCCAAACCCTAAACCCGAAACCCTGAAGTGCGACGATGTTGACCCTGACCTGTTCATAATGGTCGGTACACATGGTCAATGAGACACCTCTTCCCCCCGTTGCAGTTTTTGGGGTCCTTCTCCTTTGTTGGGTCGTTTTGCTTCTAGGTCAAGGTGCTTGTCACAGCTCTACATCTTGCACGCTTGGTTTGTTCGCCCAGTTGTGAATCATTTCTTCGATATGCCCCATAAACCCAAAGTCCGCACAAGCGAGGCCGTGTGACCTATACAGCGCAGGCGCATGTTTGGGTGCTTGCGCCGCTTGGACACACTTGATGGATGCGTTGAAGCCCCCATTTTTGTCGATTGGGTTTAGGGTTTTGGGGGGTTTAGGGCTCTTCGTCTTTCCAAGGGCAGCTGTGTGAACAACAGTCTTGAGTGCCTCCTTGATCATGCTATCCAAGGCTGCTTTTGAGCATCCTGGCTGTGAGCATCTTGTCCTCGACGCCCGTCCGTGCCCTCTTCGGGTGTGTGCTGCAGCCGTTCCGGCGGCAGGATGAATTCGAGCCAGCGGTTCTGATGCCATTCTGGGCACGAGCTCAACGCCCCTGCCCTCAACAATGAGAGGGCCAAAGGGACACATGGGCTGAGCGGAAGCGCTGCCTTCACACACTCCCCATGTTTTGCAGCACCCCCACCTTACAACTTACGTCGTGCTAATGCGCACACGCGCACATAGATTCCGAAGCCCTGAATGCCTTAAGCTCCTCGTAGGGTTGCCAGAGGGATGTCCAGGCTTGCATATGCCATATGTGAAGGGGGACCGAAGGCAGCGCTTATCCTGGATTGTTGCTTGGATATGCTTGGATCACACTTACCCTAGACTAGGTGTCATAGAGAAGCACGGGCTAAGTATGTTTCAAGCCATCATGGGGTCGGAATGAGTCGGACCAAGCAGCAACCTGGGACAGCTATGAACATCATAGCGAGCACCAAGAGGCTCAGATACAGTGACTGGGGCCACAGGGAGGATGCGTGGAACGCAGGAACTACGGGGAGACGATTTGCAGGCGAGGATTCCTGATCTTCGGCCAAAACTAAGTGACCATAACATCTTGCAATTTATGAGCCTAGCCTTAGCCTCAGATCCCCGTTGAGCAAAGCAAGCGTCCAGACATGCCGGGCAAGTGCAGCGTTCTGGCTGGCATCTCCTTGGACACCCATCAGAGAGCGATTGTCCACGGCGCGTTGAGCAAAACAAAGCGCAAGCCTGCTGGGCAGTTGATGGAAGTAGTGATTGTGACAGCAACAGCTTGGAGACATTGCCGCGCACGTCTCCTATTCATTCGGGGTGGTTGTTGGACATTCGCCCTTAAAGATTTCGGATGTTTCGACAGTCGGACCAAATGGTAAGGATGGCATGCCAGATCTGTAAAGGCTTCAAATGACATAGTTTCAAGCCTGACTCTACTCCTACAGGTACAGGTACTAAGTATGGGGTGCGGGCTATAAGGGATACAGGCAGGAGTGGCATACCCCTTGGTCGCACCTTGCCTGTACCCTTCCACCGTACCTCGTAATTTCCTATACCAGCAACCCCCCCCCTCGCCCCAAACCCTGAACCCTAAACCCCCCCCCAAGCCCTCAACCCCTCTTAGACCCAAAACCCTAAACCTGAATTTTCTTTCCTGCGTCGAGGCTACTTGGTGGCAAGCGCGTGGACAGCGCAACTCACCCAGGCCCTTTAGACCCTGAACCCCCTTTGTGTGCTTATGGGCTTCTTGAGGGCTTTCTGACGCCAGACCTGACCCTCCAGCCCATAACTGGGGCTGATTTGAGACACATTTCAGACTTTTGTTGGCAGGGGGATCTTTGGGAAGCACGGGGATCCAGCAGCTCAGTGCCATCAGCGCGAAGTCATAGCGATGCTCAAAGCATAATCTGCGTCTACTGTTTTCGCGGGGCGCTGAGCTGTTTGTGTTATACTTGCATGTGGCTTTTCAGGTCGGTCCTTGTGCCAAGCTCGGTCTAGAATCGGGCCGGGCATGCATATTGCTGATAAAGCATGGTTTAGCTGACTTGTGATATATGAACATGTGTATATACCCATTGCCGTGTCAGGCCCAGGGAAGCCCATACCACAACAAATCTGCCAAACATCAAGCGCTAAAACCGAACTTCAAAAAGATTCGCAAACACCCGAGGCAGACAACAAATCTGCAAACATAAATGATTTACATGCCTCCTGGCCACTCGTGTCGTCGGAAAGCATAACTTCCCTAGCAGACTGCCTCAGCATGCGGAGGCCGAGCTGAATGGCGTGGGCGCTGCGTCCAAGGCGATCGCGGCTTGGTCGTGAGAATCCCGCGGGCTGTGTTCGGAATTCTGGGGCGTCCCCCGAACATTGCACCACTCCGCACACCTCACTTAAGCATGCCGAGTATGGCATATGAGGGTTTCCTAAATTCGGGGTTCGTTTGGGGGATCCCTTAAAGAGGGGGGTTGTGCCATATTTTTGGGGTATTCGGTTGGGTGGTGGTGAGGGGGGGGGGGGGGGAGTTGATATGATTTTACAAGCTACCACTGTGTGGGGGCCTCACGTTTCCAGGTGGGCTTTGGGTTTCCTTCGCCTTCAAAGCTCGTAGCCGTGCAGGTGGGCGATGCCCCTCAGCCGCTGCCTGCCAGCATCAGGGTTTAGGGTTAGGATTTAGGGGTTTAGGGGTTTAGGGGTATAGGGGTTTAGGGTTTAGGGTGATTTTTGAGCTTGCGATAGGAGCTGTGTCAGAAGCTCCTCATCGATTCCACAATCGTCAGGTTCTCCGTAGAAACCCCGTGTCGAGCTTCCACGTGCACAATACACGTTCGGAGTTTACATCGTTGCATATGAGACTATATGAATAGCTACGACTGGAACGAGAACTGCGCTTATCGATAACCGCACCAACTGTACTTCCAACACTGTACAGATGCTACACATCCTGAGACCTAAACCCTTTTAAGTCCCCTGAAGATCCCCAAGCCCAGAGTTTCGCGGTAGCGAGTGCATAGAAAGCCGTGGGCTTCGACTCTCAAGTCCAAGCGCCGCCAACAGAAGGAGTTTAGGTTTGTGAAAACCTGCATTTGCCAACCCTGGAAAGCTGAGCACAGCCACAATGAGACTGCCTCTGGCTCCCAGACGCACGGGGGCAACCCGCTCTTAATGGCTGCAGCTTCACACTCCCCCTCACTCTGCACTGCAAGTGGAGAGTGACTCTCAGAACTGCAGCCACATTGCATGCACGTGTGCCTTCTGCCGATGACCCGCTTACCTGGTCTCGGGGCAAAGACCGGTAGCTGAAGCTAACCTCCTCAGCACCCTGCGATACACTTTTGGACCCTGGCCCTTCGCAGCCAAGCCTTGCCTGAGACGTCTCCCGGCATCACCGTCCTCCAGAAAGCTTACTTATTTATGGCTCCCGGCAGCGGGCCGGCTACGCAAACCCATTTCCAAAAGGAAGCCCTTACGCGGCGCTAGCCAGCATTTGGGACAATCCCCGGATCAGGGCGCACCCGTTCTCGACGCTGCACCAAGAGCTCTTACAAACCTCCCAGCTCACTTGGCCAGGAACGTCACGAAGTCGCACAGTGAAGCGCGAAGCATTTCACACAGTCCTTATCCTGGGCCGTGCTTACGCCTTTGGGCTCATAACCTGTGACAACCTGCATTTGCCAACCCTGGAAAGCTGAGCACAGCCACCATGAGACTGCCTCTGGCTCCCAGACGCACGGGGGCAACCCGCTCTTAATGGCTGCAGCTTCACAAGGTTTCAGGGCTTGGGGCTTTATTTTCAAGGGGACGCAAAACCCTAAACTCGAAGCCCTAAACCCCAAACCCAAAATACTGGGCTTTTATAGGTTGCAACATGGGGCTTGGGATGCAAAGCCGAGGCGAAAGCTGGATGAGGCAACTCGCGCCTTGCCTTGGCCTTCGAACTCAACCTCCTAAACACGCTTCAGCACCCCTCCCCCCTCCGCCAACAAAGAAAAATGTAGAGACATGCTCTCTCTTATAAGGGTTACAGGAATGTTGTTTCAATATTTTTTCTTGGGGGGGGGTTCTTAAACAAAGAGCAGCAAAGAGTCGTCAACCCTAAACTTGCTGGTTCGCAGTAGGAGTCGGGAATGAGGGAATGAGGTACCATATTCCCTTAAAAGGTTATATATAGATATAACCCCTTGAAGGGTGCGCTTATATGTGTGCGGGAAATATGAATTCCCTCATTCCTTACTAAGTTCTAAGCTTCCCAGGCAAAAGGGTTCTGGAATGTGGAAGACCTTCGGCTTGTGTCGACCTAAACCCTAAACCCTAAACCCTGAACCCCGAACCCCGAACCCCGAACCCCAAACCCCAAACCCCAAACCCAGCCGGGATGTGTCAAATCTCCAAAGCCCTGAGAAGCGAAAAAGCGTTGCTTGCTGGATGTCATCTGTTCACGAGCCCGCTTCCTAAGTTGGGGGGGGGGCCCTCAAACCCTCAACAAAGGGTTTAGGGTTTAGGGTTTAGGGTTCAGGGTTTAGGGTTTAGGGTTTAGGGTTAAACCCTAAACCCTAAAGAGCCCAAAAAAAGCCCAGGCCGCGAGCTCCTTGCAAAGTTGGGGGCCTCGCCCTGGGCGGGGCAACGCCAGGAACTGCTGCGCGACGAGGGGCCCCTCAAGGGCTGCCCGGGAGCCCAGGGGGTTGGTTTGGGGTTCAGGTTTTAGGGTTTAGGGTTTAGGGTTTAGGGTCAGGGTTTGGGGGGTCAAAGTGATAAGGGTTACCGGGTTCAGAGTTGGAGAAGGGTCATCCTATGAATTTGTGTTTTGTTTGGTGAGCTTTTGGGTTTTGGTGTGGGGGGGGGGGGGGGGAAATATTCCGAGAGGAGCGCCCATGGAGCTTTGTTAATGGTCACGCGGCTTGGGCTGTGAGGTAAGGCTCAAGATTCAGGATTCTGGGTTTACAGGCGTAAAGGTTTGCGGTTTAGGAAGGTGGAAGGTCTCAAAGAGAAGATGCAAGGCTGAATCTCCAGGTTCTCATCAAATCCTTACATGCATGTCGTCACTACTGTACCTGGCAAAGATCCAGACTCAGGCTGCGGCATCCTGATGACTGATGCATTCTCTGGGCCATTCTGAGAAGAAGTTGTAAGAAAAACATGTACTTCCAGATGTCAAGAACGGTCGTTCTGCAGCACACATGTGACCAGGCTCCTGCTACGAGCCTTGGTGGCATTGAATGTGGGAGTTGTTGTGACGCTTCAATGGTTCTTTGGGCGAGACCGTTGCAATTCAGGAAGTCTGCGTATGCGCTCCTGAGTCACGGAGCCAAAGTGTGGGGGCATGACAATATCTCTCAGAGCCTGATGAAACATCCCAATCGCCAAGTAATCCACCCGCGCATCTTGTAACTCTGACAAAAGACACCTTGAAAGCTGCAGAGCTTCATGGGGTCCCAGCATGAGCACCTCAACTTCATCCGGTTCAAAAGCCTTACGAGTCTTTATCTCACTGTGGATGTTTGCGCGCAAGAGACAAACCCTGCCTGCAGAGGACTTGCTGGCCTTGCGCGTGCGCCTGGCACGTGGCGAGGATGTTGCGGGAAGTGACGAG